GGGAAGCAGGGGAGGGGGAGGAGCAGGGGGCGGAGTGTTCAGGGGAGGGGAGGAGGGGGAAGACAGCTGCGAGGCCGGACGGCGTGGTAAGGCTGCAGGGGATGGGGGGAGCTGGGAAGGGGCTTTGGCTGCCCAGCGGCGCTTGGCTGCTGCTTTTCTATCTATAAATAGCCGACCAGGGGGAAATCCTGGACATTTTTAGATTTTTAAAAATCCCCCCCAGACGGCTATTTATAGACCGAAAAGCCAGACATGTCCAGGGAAATCCAGACATATGGTAGCCCTAACTTTCCCCAAGTGGGCTATCCGTAAGTTAAATGAGACTTTATTTAGGGAATAGCATCCCTCTGAGGGGTCTAGTTTATTAACCAGAGGCTCAATGAAAATGCATCCAAACCTTCACTCCAGTGTCTTAGCTGGGAGACAATCAATCTTAATTTATCCATCCCACATGAGTCCACCAGTCCACTCCAGCAGCTCTTTCGGTTCAGGCTTCTTGCCACTATCTGGGAAGAATTCTTTCCCCAGAATCAGATCTATCAGCTGTAGCTCTTCTCTGTAGCAGCATGTAGTTTCTGACAGCCTGGCCATTCTGTGTCTGAGAGTGCAACTTCTTGGCTCTGGTAAGCTCTCCTCAGAGGGCTTCCTGTCTCCAGGAACCCCCTCCTGAACTTGTTGCTCTGGTGAACTTCCTGTCTACCAGAGCAACAACTACCACCTCAGCTGAGGACTGGTAACCCTTTGTCAGGCTCATTAGCTAATCAGTTGTCAACTAGGCGCATAGGGATTTCTTTACCTCCAGGTGGATTTGAGTTGGCTTGTTCTCCCTTTCAGGAGCTTGTCACAGAGCTCTGACTCTCCTGAAAGGGCCAGCCCCAGTAACAAAAGGTCTCTCATATATTTCTGTTTAATTATCCCTGTAAAACACAGTGCAAAATCCTGGCTTTGTAAATAAACCACAAATGGCCAGGATTAATACACAAATTTGTTATGTTGCATTCTTAACTTTGATACTGAAGTGCAATCTGTATTCAGACTGAGATCCATTTTCAACCCTAACTTTGATGTTAGGGTTGAAAATGAAACTCAAACTTTTTTTTATTCATATTTTGTGAAAATGGAGCTATTTAGTTGGTATATTTAGCCTCACAAACATAATTTTTCTTCTAATCCTAAAGTGAGCAGAATGTGCTATAATAAAAATGCTATTATATCTTCAAAGATGAGTGTAAATAAAATAATGTGAATGTCCAGTTGAGGTTTTATTAAAAATGTTTGCATGCCTTATATTTTGTCCTCTTGTGTGGTTATAGCTTGTAAGCACAACTATATGAGGGGAAATTATTCTGAGATCTCAAGCTTTACTGGCAATTGTTCAGCATCTAAAAAGAACTGTTTCACAGTTGGTGATGAGCATTGCTCCAAGGTCATGCTTGCAGAGAACTAGAAGAGTGCCTGCAATAATGCCATCTGGAGACCTACAACATTTGCCACATGGATATGCATTGTTTACCCTCATTTTTAAATTTTAATTCACCTAGAGTGTGTAATCCCCTGCCCAACAGCTGCTTATCCCACAAACTTCAGGGCTCTGGCTCTACTTAATTCAATTCTGGCCCTGAGGGCTGCCTCAAGTTGCTTTCCTGCTGTAACAAACTCTAGATCTCCTCCCTCTGTGCCTGGGGATCCTCTGGAGGGCGTACAGAAACTCCCTGCATTGGGTGGCTTTCATGCCTATCCTGCTCCCCGTCTATACCAGCTTAGCTGGCACAAAGAGACTGCAGGGTAATGTTGAATAGGGCCCAGAAAGTTGAGCACTGAATAATATGAGCAGTGGGTTTAACTACACTGACTGCATGCTCTCACTTCAGATGGAACTTTCAGGTAAAAGAATGTTTGGGGAAGCAGCAAAGGAAATGCTTAAACAATTATAAATTTGCACTATCGATCATTGTGGCAAAGAGTTTCTAGCTGTGATTTCTAAGCAGCTACATGTTGATTTCAAACCTGCTCTTCTGCCTACACAACGGGACCACCGAGCATGCAATGTCTATGCTAGAAATTGAGCCATGTTTGAAACTTGGGGCCAAACTCTATATTTCCACCTCAGAGAATCTCATTCTGACCTCAGTATCTAACATGGCTCCTCCAGGATTTCCCATCAACTATGGTTGTGTCTGCTAACGTGGAGAGGGTCTTTGTTAGAACTGAGCCTTGACCACCATCCTATCAAGTATGATTCCATTTTTACTCAATCATAGATAACATTGAAATACATCCCTAAATTGTAAAGGGATTAAATGAACCATCTAAAAGGATTTAGGTAGAGAGGATGCTGGAAATCATAGCAATGCTAACTATGTTACAAGAAAAGCTCAGAGATGCTTTTAGGATTACACTGGAGTGGCTGGGTGGGTGGGGAGTACCACTCAACACTAAGCTGAAGATAAAGAGACACCTAACAGCTTTATTGTTTCAGTTTTTTAAATCTCTGTGTGACACACAAGGGCATTGTAATTTAGTAGAGGGACTTTTTAAACCATAAACGTTTGGTTTTGAGACTTGTATATATAATCCACCTGAATATAAATTTGCCTTTACAGCTATTATATAGATACTGTCTACAGAACTAGAGGAAATTTACTCTTCATATCAGGAGAAAAGTGGGATGTAGCTTTAGATGCACATTAAGGGGCAGGATTTTAAAACCTGAACACTGATTTAAAAAAAAATGGGTGCCAACAGTTAGGCTCCTAAAACCATCTACAGCCATCTAAATAAGTCACTTGATTTTCATCTGTACTGAGCACCTAGCAACTTCCATAAATATGGATTTCTGAGACTAACTGCAGGATCTCATTTTTGAAAATTATGGCACAAGCCTTGCTTTATTTGTCCTTATCTAGTAGGAACAACTGCTATCAGTTTAAACATTTAAGTATTTTATATATGGGCACAGTCATGCCACACAGACATCCAAATACACTTGCAAATAACAGTGCACAGGTATTTGTATTTGGGTGCAAAAAGGGAGGGTAGTGAAGATCCTGTTCAAAATCAGGCCCTTAGATCTAGTCATAAAATACATATGATTTACTATGGTTATTTGCTGGCTTGCTGCCTGAAAGTGTTGTTTTGTACTTACCCACATAAAGTAGTTGTATTCCTATTAGTTTTTTCTACAAATTTATTAGCTATAATTTACAATATTGACACTCTTGTTTGGTGCTATCTTAGACTTAACTTCAAAACAGGTTGCCAAAATTTGCATTGTACAATATTACTTTCTTCACTATTTACTGGTCCTGTCACATAGAAAGCTTCAACTCCGTTGCGTTGTTCCTGACCACGTATTACATTTCCCAAGTTAATATTCTCAACAAAATGGCAATGCTATTCTGGTCTCTAACATTCAAATAGATTATATAAGGAGAAAAGAGAGGCCCCTCCCCCACAAAAAAACCATTGATTCAATAAAAATTCTCCTTTCCAATCCAGACAGCAGACCCGTAAGCCACAGCACAGAGCTTCATTGTATATTCTACACTCATTCTGCAATGGAAGTCCCATTGACTTCTGTGGAACAGAGGCAAAATATTCAACAGAGATCCAGCTCTATGGACTAGTACAGGGATGGGCAAACTTTTTGGCCTGAGGGTCACATCAGGGTTCCGAAACTGTATGGAGGGCTGGGTAGGGAATGCTGTGCCTCCGCAAACAGCATGGCCCCCACCCTGTATCCGTCTCCTCCCACTTCCAGCCCCCTAACTGCCCCCCTCAATCTCTGACCCATCCAACCCCCCCCACTCCTTGTCCCCTGACCACCCCCTCCTGGGACTCCTTGCCCCAACCACCCCCCTGGGACTCCACCCCCTATTCACCCACCCTGGAACTCCACCCCCTATTCAACCCCCCTGCTCCCTGTCCCCTGACTGCCCCAATGCCTATCCACACTCCCGCCCCCTGACAGGCCCCCTGGGACTCCCACGCCAATCCAACTGCTCCCTACTCCCTGTTCCAACTGCCCCCCGGAACCACTTGCCCCTTATCCAACCCCCCACTCTCCACCCCTTTACCATGCCACTCAGAGCACCAGGACT